CTGAATGGAAGATAGTGCTAGCCATCCCACAAATAGATGTGAGTGTTATATTAGGAACCCAAGGGTGGTACAAACACATCTCTCCAGAGTTCATTAAAAATAGTCCAGACATTCACGCCTCCAGTATGATTCAGTTCAGGGCCTCATTGGACCAAGGACCAGCCCAGCCTACTCCACACAGTCCCCACTATACAGCTTAGAATTTCTTGGCGATGTTTCTATAAAGATAGAGATGCCATCATCACTGTTGTCATTGTCACTGTTTTTACAATAACAAAGTAAGGCACTGTAATCCCTTCCTCTAAGTTTTCACTTTATTATAAAATTTCTAGTGTTTGGATGACAGTGACTCATCCATTGCACCTTGAATCACAGTCCTGTAAAAGAAACAGGAGCTCACAAATTCGGTTTAGCCTCAAAATCCTGACTTGCAGGACTGTTTTTTGCCTTACTTATGTGGATATCCATTACTATTGAAATCAAGGAAACCTGACTAGCAGTCTGTGTTCAGAATCCATAGTGGGTCATGTGAAAATTTGGAATCCTCAAGAGCATCCTCCTCCCTTTTAAAATGCTGCTATTCCTGTAGGCTTTAAAAAAGTATTCCCAGCTCAATATTTCTTTCAAAATTCATTCTCTTCCTAATGTTCCTTTCCTAACCTACACCTCAAAAGCAAACCCCCAAACATCCTCTGGCTGTGTGTTCCTTGGGCTCCCTTTTACCATTGCACTGTTTTTATCCCCCACCACAAGAAGACAAGCTGTGCAGATCTGGGGCAGAGATTCCTGCTTAGAATGAATGGGATGACGGACATGGGTGCAGGGGAGGTGAAGAGGGTTTCAGAGAGGGGCTTTCTACAGAGCAGGACACGAGATCTGCTCATCTCTGGGGACTACCCTCTGTTTAATGGGTTTTCACTTTGATAATCCCCTAGAGCTGGCTGTTTTTTAGTCTTCATAACCTCCTGGTTTTTAGTTTCCTATCTCTTACAACTTAGATGAGAAAGATGATCTGTTTTCATGGACTGTTTTGCCCCAAGTTCAAAGAGTAGCTAGACCTTAAAGTATTTTAATTTGATTTTATCATGTGCATGCATATGTATGATGTAGGTGTCTGTGTCAGCATGTACATGCCACGACACACATATGGAGGTCAGAAGACAGCTTCGGGGAGTCAGCTTTTTCCTCCAGGGATCAAACTCAAATAGTCTGGCTTTTGTTGAGCCATCTTTCCCACCCTAGCCCCGTAGGCTGTGGTGCTGTGCTATGGGTCCTGCACCTAAGAGGCTCTGATGTAAGCAGGGTGGGGCTTCAAGAAGAAGCACAAGGATCCTGACGAGCGCTTGCTGCTAGCCATGGCTTGTTAAGATTCTGGCCTTAGGGACTGGGCACCCTGAATTTCATTCTTGTCTGCTGGAAGAGCTATCTCTCATGCCTGGGCTGCGTGGCTCAACTCAGTCTACCGGTGCCCCGGGGTGCCATTGGGTATTCCTGTTAGGGAGATTGCCTTTGCCAGTGTCCCACCCCAGGTACCCCAAAGCCCTTGAGTAAACCTGTTACCTCACCCTCCCATACATGTCTCAGTTTCCTGATACTCTGGTAGCCATGAACCCCTAACATTACTAGGAAGCCTTGGTGCCTGAGATGTCCCTGCCAGAGCTTTGAGCTCATGCTTGAAACCTCAGGGCAAGTTGTACAGCTGCAGACAGCTCAGCTAGGGTAGGGCAGCTCCAGTGAGTACATGTTGCAGCTTTACAGGAAAGCTTGGGATGGTGTCTAAGAAACCCAGCCTTCATAAAAAGGAAGAAGGTGGAAATCTTTCTCTTAAAGGGAGTGATACGATGCATTGTTTATGCAATGGAGATCTTGCTCACCTTTGCTTGGGTTTTTAAGTAATACCTTAGATCATTCTGTTCGGATTGCTCTGTGTTGTCTTGAAGCCAAAGCATAAAATGCAGCACAAATAAAGATATAAACATGAAAGAACAAAGAAAAAGTTCTTTGAGGAAAAATAAGTTTAGGGGATATCAGCTTAGCCACAAAGAAAGAAATAAGAGAATCATTGATGCCATTAGAAAAAAAAAATCATCTGTAGAAAAACTCAGAAAAACTGTAGAATTTACAGAAATGAGAGACATGGAGAAACTATTTGCAGTCATGGAACAAAAACTTATAGCCATAAAATATAAATATTTCTCATAAATGCATAAGAAGTTCATGCAAAAAGCCACAAATAGACTAATTGAAAATTAGTTATGGGCTGGAGAGATGGCTTAGAAGTTAAGAGCACTGGCTGCTCTCCCAGGGGTCCTGAGTTCAGTTCCCAGCAAACATATGTTGGCTCACAACCATCTAGGTCTGGTGCCCTCTTCTGGCACACAGGTGTACATGCAGACAGAACATTGTATATATAATAAATAAACATTTAAAAGAAAATTAGTTATAAGAAAGGTAAGCATAAATTACCATAACTCCAGGAAAAGATCAGAGATTGCCAGCAATTGGGGAGATACAATATACAGTAAATAATAAGTAAACAGTAAATAATAAGGTGCATATATTAATACTTGTTTTAAAGGCCCCACCATTGTAGTGAAGGCTGGTCTTAACTCCCCGTCTTCCTGCCTTTTCCTCACCAGTGCTGAGCAGGTTTGTACGTGGTTTGGTCATCTGGCCTGGTCAGCTTTGCCTGTCCATTTGGTATAAGTGACAAGGGGCTGGAGAGATGGCTCAGCCATTAGGAACACAAACTGTGTCAGAGGACCGAAGTTCAGTTCATCACTCACGCTGTTCATTACACAGCTACCCGTAATTCCAGCTTCTGGGTTTCTGACGCTCTCTTCTGACCTCCACCGGCACCCATACTCACAGGCACATAGACACACACACACACACACACACACACACACACACTTTTATAAAATTCAAAACATATTTTTAAGAGAAAAGGACAAGTTTCCAGTGCTGGTGAGATATAGGGTATAGGTAACATGCCCTGTTCTACACGATAATTAGTGTATCTTTTCATAAGGTGGTCCTTAAAGCACAGCGTGAAAATGGTTGTCCTTTGGAAATGACGTTTCACTTTTAAGGACTCTTTCTTGATAGTCTACTGACAAATTTGTGCCAGCACCCACATATACCCATAGTGTCTCTCTCCTTCTCCTTGTCACCCCCCCCCAATAATTTGGTCCTAATTAAAAGGGGGAGGAGGGAGTATTTATTTAGTAGGCATGCCCACCAGACTCAACTTCCCACTGGGATGGCATGGAGTGGGTACAGTTGGGGCGGGGGATGCGGGGCTTCAGACAAATTAGACTGATTCCTTCTATGGTATTTAATTTTTTAGTGTTTTAAATTTTTTCTATAAGATCATTTTCAGACGAAATTCATGTATACAGAAAGGCCTATGGAATTACGCAGTTGCATTACGAGAACGCAACTTGATTTCCTTTGGTGCGTCTCCACAGCCTTCTACATTCAGGAGAAAGGTAATCTGAAAAGAGCCATCAAGGGAAGGGCCAGCCAAAGGCCCGTTCGGCTATCTTGTTGCCACCACTTTCTTTTTGGCTCCATGTCTGTCAAGCGATATGAACTTTTGACCAAAGGAAACACTGGTAAATGCTGGAGCATGTTTGCCCTGAAAGGCAGTTTGTGAGGATTCTATCTTCTCTTTGTAAACTACAAATAATGTTTGTCAAACAGGGCATAATTTAAGATGCAGCCTTCATTTATAAGCTCGCTTCCTTTGGCCTGAGCACAACTAACCTGCCCCCCTCGTGTTCTGCCCAGTGGTGTCTGCCCTTGGATTTGTGGCACAGGTTTCCTGGGCTCTGCAGACGCTCTCATTGTCCTCTGCAGCTAGTGTAGACCTGTCTTGGCAGTAATTGCTGTCCTCAGGGAAGTCCCTGCTTGGAGCTGTGTGTGTGAGCACCATCTCTGGGCCTGTGTATGCTCCTGAGTCACTCTTTGATCCTCCTTTGACTGTTGAAGCCACTTAACCGCCTGCCAGGCCCCACCATGTGCTGGACCCTGAGAATGCAATGTAAGCCACAGCAGACTTGTGATCACGGTTTCATGGAAACATCGACTGTACACTCAGCCAGTATTGCATCAGAAATGCTGAATCAGGGAGGGGCTCCAGACATGCATATGCCTGGCATATTAATGGCTGGAGGAAGTTGTTTGTGATGTTCGTGTCGGAAACCTGGCAGTAACCTTACCACTCAGACACTGAACCCGCAGGATGGGACAATAGGCTGTCTAAGTCACTTACAGAGGCAAATCCTCCCAGCACTGGAGGCTGAAGGGAGGTCTTTTGATATTTTTCTCTTCAATGCACAGCTCCTGCAAATTATTGGGCTCAATTATAGAGATGGGTTCCGTTTCTAGAAAGGTTATATAGGTGAAGCAGTGGGTATAACCTCGGTTCTGAGAGACTTTCTCGGCTCTCCTGGAATGGAGAGATGGTGGGTGTTGTTGGACAGGAAGGGAGTTGAGGAGACAGTCTGAGCTGTCCTGAGGTTGGCCCAATGTGAACAGGTGCCAATTTAGCAGCTGCCTGTGGTGAGCTCACTGGGCTGACCTTGAACTCCACTGTGTCAGTGAGGACAGTTGTAGCCAAAACCCTGGAGGCCCGATAGGGCCAACAAAAAGATCTTAAGTTTGAAGACCAGGTCTTAGAACCTCAGTGAGTCAAGTGACAGAGGTCTACGGGACGGTACTCCCGGAATCTCCCTTTGTCCGAAAAGTTACAGTACCAAAGTCCTGCAAGGGGCCTACAGCGTCTGCAGGCAGAGCTCCGGTGTCACTGCCGGCCCAGCTCCATGCCAGCTTTATGGCTGCATTTTCTTCTCCAAAGTGTACTCATAGTCTCTGTCTCCCTCACGAGGACTGGATCTGTAGGAGGGGTCATGCCTGCAGCTTCGAGAACCGTAGAGCCGGGAAAGCATGCTGGTGGTGGGGCCGTGGCTCACAGTCCTCCTTCTTCTTCCCTGCAGCGGAGCTGGAGTTCGCACAGGTGCTCATCATTGTCGTGGTGGTCACGGTGATGGTGGTGGTCGTTGTGTGCCTACTCAACCACTACAAAGTCTCCACACGTTCCTTCATCAATCGCCCCAACCAGAGCCAGAGACAGGAAGACGGGCTGCAGCCGGTAAGTATGAGCCTGGGACATCTGAACAGCTCCTGGGGCTCCATTCTGGAGTTCCAAACCCAGACAGGGCATGGCAAGAGGGAGAAGGCAGGATGGCCCACCCGTCAGCTCACTGCAGTACAGAGGTGTCCAGGACTTGGGGCTGATGGTTAATGTGGAAGTGTGCGTACGCTGTCTGCATGCAGCTCAGTGAATTCTCAGTCAGAAAGGGGACATAAAGCCTTCCAGTAGCTTGGTCAGTTCCTCCGTCTGTGGAAGTCTCCACTGCTTGTTTGTGGCCATTAGCCCAGATGAGTTTTGCTGGTGGTGGCCTTCACACTCGTGCCTTCCCTTTTGTGTCTGGCTTCATCCATGAAGCGCTGGGTTCTATAGAGAGCTTTGCCTGAATCTAGTCCCGGAGTCGTTCCAGGCACCTGATGTGCCATGTGCCTGCCATTGGTGGAGGTGAGTCAGCTGAGGGCGACAGTGGGGTGGCATGCGATGGGTGCCTTTCTAGGTGGAGTGAGGTGAACTAGAGGGTAGGGTGCTGAAAGCTGTCAAGTGCGGCTCCTCAGATTGGGCCTCTGAAAAGGTTCTATTTCTTGACTACTAACCTCTTTCTTCCCTCAGCAGAACGATGTGATGCATTGGCTAAGCTGAGCCATAGCCACACTTGGGAGGTCAGGGGCTGCTGGGACTTTATGTCCTCCACCTGTTTGATAATCTGTCTGCAATAATCCTGCTGACTTTTAGCAAGAGGCAGGGAAATAGTGCAAATAAGTGAGTTTAAATTCTTAATGTCAGTGTATAAGATGCATCTAATTAATGTTCATCTTCCATTCTTTTCTGAGTTGCAGGAGAGACATGTTTTATAGAATGTCCTTTGTTAGGACCAGGGATGCCTGGTCACTGCCTAAGGGAGGCTGCTGTGTGTGTGGGGTGGGTGGGAGGGGCATATAACCATTGAAATGGATAGTATGGAGTGGCAGCTATGCATGGGATCCCTCTTAACAGGGCAGGATTTTTCTTCACTGGAACCAGAGTTGCCCGCGGAGACTAATGGCTCGGTGGTTCTTGTAGCAAAGAGAAGCAGGTAGCTGGAAGGGTATGTGTTTATACACCTCACACCTGACGTACAGGCTGGGGCAGTGGTGGTGGACAGGGTTTGGCCTAACAGTCTCTATTCCTTTCGGCTTCCTCGTCTTCTCTTGCTGCCTTCCTTGGTCTTTCCTGGTCCTGGTTTTCCTGGGCATGCTTGGTTGATTTCTTTATATACCGCAATGGCTTCCCAGGGCTTGTCATCCAGTATCCACACTTTCTGCCTCTGACATTACAGATTATTGTACAAAGACGGCTCAGACCTTGAACGAGAGAACAAAGTTAAAGAAAGGAGACAAGGAAAATCTTGATGCAGAAGCCATCCTAGAGCCACATGGGGTCTTTGCTTTGCCTTAATATAAGGGCTGTGGGTGCCAGCCAGCCCTGGGCAGATGTGGCGCAGCTCTCACCTTGCCATCAGAAAAGGATGTAGTACTCAGGTAGTGCATGGATTAGCAGCATTGTTTCAGTCTTGGGTGTGCCTCTATTTTCTAAGTAGGACCCACCATAGTGTCTAGTTCTAAAATATCCCACCTTCCCATCTTGCACTTTGTGCTCCAAGAGTTCCCCAGTACTGGGGTTCCTGTATGGCTAACAGGTCTTGCCTAGGCCCCTCCCTTCATCTTCTTCTTGAACTTGCCTAGACTGAGGGGCATCATGAGCTTCCAAGTGGATCTGTGTCTCCACAGTTCAGCCCAGCCCCATGCTCTCTGGCTGTCACTGGCCTTAGGTGTTGCATCCTGGCCATACGTACTGTGGCCGTGTTTTGACCAACCACGATGCATAGCAGGAAGACAGCTTGAAAGGGGCAAGCAGCAAAGTTCTCATGTGGCTTTACTTGGAAAGGTGCTTGTCCTTTCTCTGGTAGTCTGCCCTGGGCTGGTCTTTCTGGGAAGCATGGGCCAGGAAGTGTTAGCATGCTGATTGGCAGGACCTTTCCCTTTCTAGAAATTGTGGAAGGTGACTTTGAGAGGTCCTTCCAAGATGCACACCGAGTAACAGTGAGGTCGGCCAGTAACTGACGGCTTTCATCTACTGAGGGTAGCCCTGTGAGTAGATGTCGTAAGCCGTGTGCTGGATCTGGGTTCTGCTGCTGGGGTGGAGGCATGCCTTGTGTACCTGTTTACGAGGTGGGCATGAGAGCAGCATGGTCTTTCCCTCCTGTGTAGCGCTCTTCACTTTTTTCCTGAGGGAACCAGAGCCGAGTACCACCCTTCCCCAGGGCCTACGTAGTTTTCCTCCGTTAATTGCAACTGTAGATATTGGCCAGCTTAGTGATGGGCAATATTCCATGCTTCATAAAGCACAAGGTGTATTTCAACTGTGACCAGGGCCGCTTCAGTCTTGGACTGGGGCTATGCTTCCTGAGTCAGACTATTCGCATAGCTTATGCTTCTAAAAGGGAGAGAAAGTGGATGAAGGGGAGACAAACCTTTTCTTCTGTCCTGCACACACCTGAGCCTCCATCCTTTCTGCTCCTCCCTAACTCCTTCTGCAGACTGTTGCTCCCTCATGGGAAAAGCAGATCACACCTTCATATATCTGACTCTCAGCAAGGGGTCTCTATGGAGACTCAGATGGTGTTAACAGTCGAAGATGTAGAGCTATAGAGATAGTCTGATCATCCTATAGTGCACAGGGATCCCTCAGCAGGAGACACCCGAGAAACTGAGCCCTTAGTTCCGAGTGCCACCTGCCCAAGTGCACTGTTGACAAGGAAGGCCACCATCATTACAAGCACAGTTCTCCTGGCTGCTTTGGTGTGCCCACAAAGAGAAGGGCACGTTTCTCCTGTCACAGGAGGCATAGCTGTTCTGAGACTGCTTTGTAGATGTTGTGCCATTTCCATCTACCTCTGTTCATTCCGCTGGACCTCATCCTAGCCAAGAGAGCAAAGCAACCAGGAAAGAGCCATCACTCTCATCCTTGGCTGAGGGTGAGGCTCCACCTCTACCCTTTCGATCCTACTGGGAATTTTTAAGTCTCGCCAGCCCCTTGTGTCTATGAAGTGGACAGGGGAACCCGTTGTCTCCTTTACTTCGGTAATTGGGCTGGTCTGGAAAGCTTCTATTTGCTTTTCCAGGTTCCCTCCCTTGATGATAGCCTCTCAAGATGATGGTCTATGTTCCTGCAAAGAGCTGACAGGAGCTTGGCAGTCACATCCTAGGGGAGAGCATGCTCTGCTCTTGTTCACTTCACTTTTCCTGGTTGCCCCGGGATGGGATATTGATTTGTGGAACTTGGAACAGAGTGACAAGTGAGGATGAATGTGTATGTCTGCTGCGCCTCCGTCCTGAGGTTTCATAGCTGCTATCCAAGCCCTGTTCCTAGACCCTGAAGTGCCTTTGTTTAGCCTCAGGCATAGGCTCACCTCCCCTAGCAATATGGACAAATACCTTGGACTCTCTGCTACTTGGCAGCATGTAGGTACAGAAGGCTCCTGCCAACCTTTCAGTGGGGAACATCTCATTGTTCTGATCCTGAACGTTGCAGAGATACTTAGTGTTTGGGGTCTTTTGCCTACTTATAACAGATCCATGTGAGATCTCCAGTGTGATTATGATGCTGTGTCCATCTTAAACTGAGAAAGTGTGAGCCACTTTTCTTCTCGCTAGTGGGCACTTAGATCAAAAGGAAATACCAGAATGAAATTATTCATCCTAATTTGATTTAATTGTCAGTTTGACAACCTAGAGTCAGCCATCTGAGAGGAGACTCAGGACTGAGGAATTGCATGGATCAGATGTGTTTGTGGGGTTTGTCTTGATTGTAAACTGATGCAGTAGGGCCCGGCCTGTGGAGGTGGCACCATTCCTAGGCAGGTCGTCCTGGGTTGTATAAGAACCGAGTTAACTGAGCATGAGAGGGCATGAGCCGGCAGTGGCATCCCTCCAGGCTTCAAGCTTCTACTTGTGTTCCTGCCCTGACACTTCCCTCAGTGATGTACTGTGACCTGGAAGTATAGGGCACATATATCTTTCCTTCCCCATGTTGCTTTTGGTGAGAGTGGGTTTTTTTTTTTAATAATTTATTTATTATGTGAGGGTGTCAGATCCCCCAGAACAGGAGTTACAGACAGTTGTGGGCTGCCATGTGGGTGCTGGGAATTGAATCTGGATCTTCTGGGAGAGCAGTCGGCGCTCTTAACCACTGAGCTATTCTCCAGCCCCTCCTGTGTTTTGTTTTTAACAGCAGCAGAAATCAAACTAGACAGTGTATAGAATGGATCTCAAACACTTGACTGGCCTTGGTTCCTGGGGACAGTCCTGTGAAAAGACACTGGCTGTCCAGCTGCAATCAGAGATGAGAATTTTGCCCCTACCTCTATGCCTGCCCTTTCTCTCATTGCCAACAAACCTTGTCCCTTTATTCTTTGCTTTGGACAATGCAGGTTTGAAGTATGAGGAGGGCTCCGTGTACCTGAGGTTAATCAGCCTCCCCTGAAATATGTGTGCCAGGGCTGCCTGGGAATGAGATAGTACTCACCAGTGAAAGTCACTGAAAAAAAAAAAAAGAGAGAGAGAGAGAAAAGAAAAAGAAAAGAGAACACTGCCTCAGGCCTAAACTAAAGGACAAGTAGAGCTCAAATGATGACCAACAGCAGGAGGTAGATTTGTGACATAAATCGCTCTTGTTTTTCTTGAGGCTCTCAGCATGTTTTTATGCACCTTGCTTGTATGGTTTGGAGCTTTAAGTCCATTTAGATTTCTTTCCATTATCTAAAATTATCAAATAATAGGAAAACAATTAAAAGGCCTAAGCATTCCAGACCCAACCCCAAGGGATATTTGCCAGAATGGTCTAGGCCACTGGTTCTCATCCTTCCTCATGCTGCGACCCCTTAATGCAGTTCCTCATGTTGTGGTGACCTTCCCCACCATAAAATTAATATGTTGCTATGCAATTTTGCTACTGTTATGAAT